GCCACCGTCGGTCTACGCCAGCCCTCCACGTCCTCATGCACTCTAGCAGCTCCCCAGCGCAGACGCCGATGACGCTGGTCTCCTTCGACAAGAGTCTGCCGAGCTTGTTCGCATTCTTCCCATCGCCATCCAAGTTCGTATGTTTGGCGGGGTCGCCCAACACCGGGCACAACAAGTGGTGGTCGTAGATGCCAACAAGCACGGTCAAAATCGGCAGCTCCATCATCATGACATCGCTGTTGTAGTATTCTGTTGTCGTCCGAACTCGCGTCTGTTTGAGCTGATTGTGGAAGTCATCGGTGGCCTCGGCGTCCGCCGAGTAGGCCCGGTCAGCCCCCTGGTCTCCATGCGACAAGTCGAAGCACTCCATCCCCACGTTGAAAACAACTCGGCGCAGACTCAGCATGCGAAAATTCAGCAAGACATGTGCCCACCTGCTCTCACCTGGAATCGGGCCCGTCTTGCCAAGCATTGCGATGATACATGCTACCGCGCTGCTCTGTCTGCGCACCTCGTCGTTCGCGCAGCAAGGCCCAGGATAATCCGCATCCCAGCAATGGTGAACCCAGGGTTGATCGTCGCCGATGTCGCAGCTCACCATCTTACGTAAGAATTGCACGTCCGCGCGGAACTGACTTCGCCGAGCGTAGTTGTGCCCGCGCCGATGGCACTCCGCATCCAAGTCGAACATGATGTGGCAGGATATGTACAGGGCCGTGTCCTCGCGAAAAGGGAGGCTCGACCTTCCTCTTGAGCTTGCGACGCGCATGGGGCTCCAAGCCAGAAATCATCCTGACACGAACATCTGGCAACCGATACAGATTGGCGATGCTGTAGGACCGCATCGCGTGCTCCCGAAATGCTTTCATTGATGTCTTCCCTCTGTGGCGAAGGTGAACGCCACAGCAATCTGGCAAATAAAGAACTCGCTTCGCAATGGTTGGCATCTGCTTCATCATGGTACACAGGGAAAGCCCGAACAACTTCATCAAATGATATGTTGCCCGATGCCTTGTCGCACATGGGCATCACAGAAATGTGGCTGACGTTCCTAAGTGTGCGTGCCAGCGCGGCGGGGTCCCGCAAGCAGAAGTGAGATGGTATTGTCCGTTCAACTCCTGGAAGCAACGCTGCAGCCGACGTGCCCTCATCCTCGATTGGCTTGATCAGCCAAGTCTCTCTTGCCATGGAGTGCTCGCCTGTGATGATGTCAAGAAACGACATGCATCAATACCCTCTCTGAGCCAGTGTTTGTACGAAAATGTCAATTTTCGTGCCGCGGCCTGTTTCCTGAATCTTGCGAAACTTGACCCGGGTTTCATCCCGTAAGTGTGTGAATCCAATGTGCGCGCGTGCGTGTTCGAACTTTTGCAAGATCCCCATGGACGCAGGAATCATGCTGAACAATGCCCGCTGCTGCCGTTGAAGAAGAAGCCCAGCTGCAGCTGCAATGACTCTCTGGTGCTTGATGCCATGTGCTACGCCAACAGTCGGTTTCACGAAGACCGCGCGCGTCAACACAGTGAAGTCGTGCGAGATCAGCTGAGAAATGATTTTGCGGCCAATCCTGCTGGGAGCGGAACCTACGATCGTAAAAACAGCTGAGGCCAACGCTGCTGCAACTTGCAATCTAGCACCTGCGGCCTTCAACTCTTGATATTGCTTCTCGATGGTTGCTTCCTGACGCTTCGCCTTCTTGCAATCTCTGGCATGTTGCACGTGCTCCCAACTCCTGTTGATGGACTTTTGCTTATTAGCACGTGCTGGACGCAGAATCTCATCCACCACGATCTGGGCCGAGTCATCCAAGCCAGTTGCAGCAGCAACAGGAAGCACGATGATTGGCGGAACATCGATCTGACTTGGAACGCATTCGGATTCAATGAGCTGGGAGCCGGCGATGTCGATGTGCTGCGTTATCTCTTGAACCACTTCCACAACTGGCATCGTCAGAATGCCAAGGCCATTCGAATTAATCTGGCCCGTGTGGCTACATTCGCATGCAAAAAGGTGCGCGCAGCGCAGCACAAATATGGAAATATGGAACACCTCTGCGAAGATAGCTGAGCCCAGATGGCTACTCATATCACCCTCCCTGGAGTTCGTGCTCCAGGCGACTGTTTTGTTTTGGAGGGTTGAAATATTGTCTGATCCCTCACTGATGCCTAGTGCGCTTCCCCTCAATTTCATGGCCATGGAGGCCGTTGCTACACTCTATCATGTTGCGCTTGGCCGTTCGAGGCCGCATGCTCAGAACCTGATTTGTTATGTTGTGGCCGTTCGGTCTACTTCATGTTGGAGCTTTTAGTTGCCATATGAAAAAATGAGCCCGAGACGAAGGAGGGGGAAGGAGGAGGGAGAAGGGACCCACGGGGAACGAGCATGGCGTAGACATCACAGGAGAAGGATGGGATGGCCCAGTAAGTAAAAGGCGAACGAGAGAGGAGGGAAGAATGAGGGAGTGCATGTGGGCGCTTTTGCCAGGAACGGACCCCCCCCCGTCGCGCACATACTTTGAACTTGCCCCCTCCCCCTTGTGCTTACTCCCGCGACGCGGCGGCTGCGTTCCTAGATTTACTTGCATGTGTATCCACGGCCGCTTCCGAGCCCCCTACTCATGCACAATGTTCTATTTTTTTTGTTTTTTTTTTTCTTTTTTTTTTTCCTCGCGTCGACCACGGTGGCTGGATGCCTCGACAACTTCGCATGGCCACTGCCCCCGGACATGGAGGGAAGCCGGGCTGCGTGGGCAGCCGACCACCAAAGAATACGGAGACGCTATCAGGCACGTGGCAGGGACAGCGAAAGAGCACCCGAGACAATTATTGCCCGGGGGCCAGGGCGGAAATGTTACTTAAGACCGGGTTTTTCGAAGGCACGAGAAGGAGGGGGAGGAGGAGGCGGAGGAGGAGGAGGAGGAGAAGGAAGGAGAGCACTGAGCAAAGCCCTGAGGGTCATCGCCAGCCGACTCCTGTGAGTCTGGGCGCCCCGCTGACCAGAAGAAGGCGTGCTCCCAAGGTGTCGCGCTCATTGGCGAGTCAGTACATTACACGCGGGAAGAAATGTGATGGGCAGCGACCACGGACGACAACGACGAGGAGCGGAGGAGAGGAGGGGGGAACTAACTCAGCTTTGCCACACTGCGGCCACGAGCGATGCGAGGCGAGGATGCGCAGCACAAGCTTCCCTAGCGTACTGCCACATGGCCTCCCACGCGTTGGAGGTGGCCCCGTGGCGCGCCGCTGTGGATGCCGCGTAAACGCAATACACCGCCAGGGCACGGCGAGCGATAGCGCTCGCCGTGTCTTCGGAAAAACGGGGGGAGAGGAGCAGAAAGTGAGACAAGCGCTCGCCGGGTGGAGGGGCAGTCAGCGCCAGCTGCCTGCGCCCGAACTCCGCGACCCTGGAGCAGTGGATGTAGTGCTCGACGCTGTCCTCCCCGTGTCCGCATGCAAACGCGCAAGGCGCTGGCCTCTGCATGCGGCGCCCTGTAGTCCAGCCGTTGCACATGACGCGGTAGACCGATGCCCACACCCGCGGGGGCACCAGCGGCGCCAGGCCGCGGAGCGCGAGCGTCGCGCGCTCCAAGCGGCGCCCACGGAGCACCGGGAGTTGGAGACGAGAAAGGCAGCGGTCGAGGTGGCGGACGGCGCCCTGCGGGCGCGGGTCCGCCAATATAATCCGACACCGCTTCTGCCATTCAGACCTCGGCGCTGGTTCCGGCGCGTCGCCCTGAACCAATGCCTCGACCGACACTCTGGCTGCTGCTGCCTTGTGTTCCAGATGGCCGCGCGCGTTTGTGAGGTTCGTGAAGAAATTCTGGCCGTACCAGCCGCTCCAGGCAACCAAACGATCCAAATGATCAGAATCCAGTCGGAGTGCGTCCAAAAAACGAGAACGACGACGTACCTGAAGTCCTCCATGAGCTGTGTTCTCCCATCGATATACCCGGCACTTGGCCGCGATCGCCACGGATGCTGCGTCGACCAATTCCGCGTGAAACCCCAAGGACCGCAAGCTCCGGAGCGCCGCTGGGGTAGTCCAGCAGCGGGGGCCGGGGAAGAGGAGGACGCATGCCTGCTGCTCCACAACGTCCCAATTGGACGGCAACTGGTCCAGCTGCAGGAGGAAGGAGAGCACGGGGAAGATGTAGGTGCGGTAAGCCAAGAGGGTCAGCATCATTCCGCAGCCGATGCCCCGCCACACCTTGGCCCGGGAAATGAACTTGTCCAAAGCCTTTGTCCACGAATGTTCACCGCGTTCCGGACCGACGACGAAGCCCAAGTAAGTTGCGTACCGGCGGATGTTGAAGTCGCTCCACGTGAGCGCGGCCACTTGGAGACGCTCTCTCACGCGGTCGGTTGATTCCAGTGCCAATGGAACCCAAACCGTTTTTCCGTGGTGTAGTCGCTCGTGTTTCTAAATGTGCAATAGGCGCTCGTATGCGAGCACGTGTTTCTATGTATGTATTGTATCTCGGTAAGGACGACACACTTGCTACAATTGAGGAGACACGTCGACAACCATTCGAAATGAAAATGCAATTCCGCTCATCAACTTGGAAATTGACGGTCTGGGCGTTTTCCCTTCTTGACGCCCCCCCCCGTGGTCCGTTCTCCAGACCGAAGGGGGACCTGCCCCCCAGACCTACCCAAGGGATGAGGATTGGTCAAACGATACCGACTGTGGCCCGCTTCGACCGCCCTCACTTGAGCAGACCCCGACCGTCCTGGCATTCCTCAGTCCTACCACGAAATGTTCTTAGAACCCACAAGTGTTCTAATAACAAGAACCATGTTCTTAGAACATTAGCCCGATGCCTTCAAAAAAGACAGACTCCGCCAGAAATGTTCTCAGAACAGTTCGTCGGAACCACGCAATGTTTTTAGAACATTGTTTGGTAGGGCTATAGGCGAGCCGGGACGCTTCGCCACTGCTTGACTCACCCCCTCGGCGGGGCCCCGACTCGGCCGCGAGAGAGACCCCGGGCGGGGCCGCTCCTGCAGGGCGGGCGCGTGGCTCCTGAAGAGGCTCGACAGGTCGTCCCAGCGCCCATCCTGGTGGGGGGGGGAGAGAGAGACCCCTGAAGGTGTAACCGCGCTGGTCGGCAGGCACCTGGCCCACAGGCAGTCGGCACCTAGGAATCAACCCTCGTCGGGCCTTCGCCCATAGTCATGGGGGTGATAACCACCCCTTGCCTACCACCCCCCAACAGGCCATAAGCATGTCTTACATGGTCGGTCAGACAAGATTTAGAAGGATGACGCCAATAAAATTATGTGATGTGGGCATTGATGCAACGGCTGTGCAGCATGTGTCCGTTCAACGGTGGACCGTGGCCATTCGGGCCACGGCCCAGGGGCCCGTCCTCGGTGTGTCGCCGCTTGTGGGGTTGGCAGTGAAGGCTGCCGTTCGATCGCAGCCGCAGCCCGCCGATGTGCGCACTGTAGGCTGGGCGGCTGGGCTTCGGCTGGCGTCTCAATTTTTTCGAGCTGGGCGTTTTCGTTATTTCTCGGGCTCCGGGACCCCCACTGATCGATCAGCCTCGAAAAATGACGCAGAGAGATTGGGTCGGGGGTTCTGGGCGCGATTTTTCACGTCGTCTCAATTTTTGTTCGGACGTCGGATCTCAGGGGAGAGACCACCCACTGACGGGCAGATCCCGGCCCAGCGCGGGGAGCGGGTGGATGGCACCGCTGTGCTTCACCTGTTCAAGGCGAGTACATGTTGGCCTCCATCACGTTCTAGGACAGAATTCTTTCCCCGGACCTTCCCACCGCTTCGTGTCTCCTGCAATTTCAAACCAATCTGCCCCATCCACATCGCAACAGGCACTGCGTAGAAAACATGGAGGAACAAAAACCTCGTAGGCTGCTGGCTTCCCTGCTGTGCTGCCCTGGGGTTGCCCGCTCCCGACAAGCCATCATCGAATCAGGAAATCGGGTCGGATCGGCATGTGCCACTGTGCGTCAGATCGGGCTGCACCGGCACGGTGTCGGAATCGGATCGGCCGAGCCAGGATGCGCAGCAGCGCCGCAGAAGCACCAGGCCGCATCGGCTCGCCAGGAAGCCGCAAAAAACGCATCGGCTCGAGCCCCGGCGAACTGGAGATCGACTCGCATCGGTCGAACCGACATAGACGTGGCTTGGGGAAGCCAAAAGACACCGATACCTCGGGAGCGGCCAAGAGGGGGTGTCCAAGAAGGGGGGTGCACATCATGACCGGCGGCATGTGCGCGGCCCAGGGGGGGGGCTGGGGACGTAATGAAATAAGAAGAGGCGCCATGAAATCTGGGGAAATATCGTGGCCCACGCCATGATATGCACCCCCCCTATAGTCATCACCCCCCTCTTTACCGCCCCCGAATGCCGCTACTCCCCGGACCTCTCCCGGGTGCGTTCTGGCTAGGACTTCGATGAGAATCCGGCGGTGGCCACGAGGGCCTCCCGGGAGGCCCAGAGAGGGGCAAAAGCGAGGCAGGGGCAGAGAGGTGTACGGGTGCCTATATGGGTGCCCTTTCCTCCCCTGACGGCCGCCTGCTCCTCGGAGGGCCCTCCGCCTAAGTCGGGCCTCTCCTCCTACAGGGAGATTTTGGAAGAAAAATGCAAAATAGAAAACAGTACCCCCAAATGGTCCCCAGACTATTTTGCGAGTATTTTTGGCCCCGACTTAGTCCTCCGCTGCGGTGGGGCTCCTCCTCAAGGACTCCCAACTTCGCGCTTCGCGCTGAGCGAAGCGCGAAGTGCGCATAACTTCGCGCTCTCGCGCCGCCTCCCAGCGGGAGGAGGACGAGGAGGCATCGGAGCCGAACCGCGAAGCGCGAAGAACTCCGCGCCCTCGAGGGCGCCCTTGCTATATGGGTGCCTTTTCCTCCCCCGACGGCTGCCTGCTCCTCGGAGGGCCCTCCGCTGCGCTGGGGCTCCTCTCGGGCCGGGCGAAAGGGGGGGATAGCAAGGGGGGTCTGAGAATCAGCTCGCGTAGATGATTTTCCCGGCGCCTCCCGGCGCCGGAGGCGGCCATGTGTCGAGGGATGGGCCCCTCGGTGGGGCCGCAACCAGCTGCATGCAGCAGATTTCGTGACCCGCCCATTTCCCAATCTCCCCCTTTCGTTCGGCCCGATCCTCCTGGGGAGCCCCAGCGCAAGGCTGCTCTCCCTCGCCATCGCTCGGACGTCCATTCCGTGTTTTTTGTTCGGTTTCGTGCGTGGTGTTTTCGCCAAAATCATCAAGGATGCTCCTCGATGGTCCTCGCCGCAGGATAAATGCACACGTCCGAGCGATGCCAAGTCTCCGGGGAGCGGCCCGGGGCAGATCCCGGCCTCCCGCGGGGGTCGGCCCCTCTCGTCGGGGAGGGCTCGGCCGCCCCCGCCACGGCCCTCCCCTGCAGGAGGGTTGTTTTTTGTTGGCCAGGGCCCCATTGGACTCGCCAAGTCACTGCTCGCAGGAGGCCTGGATCCCCCGCGGGGGATCCACGGTAAGCTGCATGAGAGCAGACATGTGTTCGTCGGGCGCCTGCGAAAGGGCACTCTGCGCGTGGTGTAACGCGCTCGGCGACCCGTGTTCTCCCTGAGAAGGTCGGTGCTTGGGGATCTCCCGAGTTTCTGGCCAGGGGTCTTCGAAGAGCACGCGGGGTACATGTCGAGCCTCTGCTGCGGGAGACGTCGGTCCCTGGGCGGTCGAAGCATCATGTTTGAATGCCCCCTTGCATAAGGCCCACGTCGGATGGGAAGATATTGCACCAGGTCGATTGGGAAGCTGATGCAGAAAAAACGAGAAACAAGCTTAAGAAACAAAAGTAACGCTCGTGAAAGGAATAGCACAAGAAACATGTTCCCCAATGCAGCTGAAAAACGAATGTACCCCCAGGGCGTCAGGGACCTGGAACATCTGGGCAAATTCCACCTTTGAACACTGTGCAAACGTTCTAGAACCAGTCCTGGACCTATCTATCCAGTCCAGCCGATAGTGGCGGCCCCGCGCGTATTCAAAAATCATACCGTAGAAGTAAGCCTACGTCACCCTTGCCAGAATTCGTGGCGAGTGAAGCCTGCCATCGAAGTGCTGCGTGTACAATTCTGGCCCTTTCAGGTCGTGAACCGAATAGGCTGGCCGCTTGCTGTTTGCTTGTGACCCAGGGCGAACGCGCGCCCGACTCACGACACTTCCAATGCCAGTGCAATGAGAGAGGGGCCTCGAATAGCGTTTTTGCGACTCCCTGGAATCTTAGGCGTGGCGCCTAGCTAGCCAAGCTTTCGACGACAAAACGCTTGAAGCGCAAATGAACGGCTCAACGACTATGTAAACGCAATCGTATGAGCATGATGGCGTGCGTGCCAACGATATGCTTCATGCCCACTGATGGCAATGTGTTGGGTGGGGTAACATCAGTGCTGCAGGAATAATCACAAACGAATAGAGCCATTTAGAGAGGGTAGCCCCGAGAGGTATTCCGGTTCCCTCTCGGGGCTACCCTCACCAAGTCATCCGCGTCGCTGTCCTCCCGTGCGCCCCGTGTGCACCACAGCGAAACCACTCTGGCGAACACTCCCGCCTCTGCCCTTCCAGGGCCTCAATGACCCAGGCCTCTCGCCCGCCTCCAGCCTCCCGCCTCCACTCTCGCACTCCCTCCTCCCCTGCATCTGCATCTTTATCCACATTCCACTCCTCCCCTCTCCTCTCCTCCGTCCCTTTTCTACAAGGACAGGAAACACAGAAACATAAACTCGTGCAGGTCCGCGCGGATTTCTGGGATCTGTGCCGGACCCCAAACCCCGGCGCGCGGAGCGCGCCAGGAGCGGCGCCGGAGGCGCCGCCGGGGGGCCCAGTGCAGATCCAAGAAATCCGCCCGGAGCGCCAAAAGGTTATGCTTATGTGGCATTTCTCCTGCGATCTTCTCCTGCTGCTTCCCTACCCCTTCCCTTGTCAGGGTTGCGCCTCTGGCGTCCTCCACCCTTGGGAGACCACGAGGCAGAGCGCAAGTCAAATGAACCAAGCGGGGGGGGAGGGATGCCGGTCGGCGCTCCTGCACAGCGGCGACGGCGCACTGCAGGACCGCGCGTCCGCGCGAGGGCTCCGGTCGCTCCATGGCCCCCCAGGGCACGGCCGCGACGGTCGCGCGGCCCTGGGCCAAGACTAACCAGCCTCGAACTTATCCCTATCCCTAAGATGGGCGAGCAAAAAGCGAGGACAATCTTAGGGACAGGCCCTCAGAAACTAAGGGAATCCTCAAGATCGGCATCGAGATGAGGTGATGTCAAACATAGGGATAGGGATATGTTTCAAACTGGTAAAAGACGGTGGTGGCACTGGCGGCGGCGGCGGCGGCAGCGGAGGTGGCGGTGGCGGTGGCGGTGACGGTATACGGCCGATGTTTTGCTGGTGAAAATACACGGAGTCACATCAACATCATAGCATGAAACCAGAAGGCCGTCAGTGACGATATTTGACGGACTGTCCGTGAGGCTCGCAGGGTGTGCTGGAGTTGGGGTGATACCACGCAGCGCCTGATGTGTGAATCCAGCAACGAAATCATAAGTTGGGGGGACTGGGCCTCGCCCAGGAGATCCCGAAGAATTACTGCCAGCGGGGACGAGAAGGCACGAGGCACTATGCCGCACTATGCCGCAACAGCCGGGATGCGGCAGAGCTCACTGTGCACCTGCACTCTGGAACAATACGAGGGCGGCCGCGGAGGATGAAAGGAGGGAGCCGCGATGAGATCATGCAGCAAAGCAGATCCCACACATGAAGTGTTGGCCTTCGCTCCCCCTGTCCATTGAGGCTGCAACCCCCCTGTGGGGTCACAGCCTGCTTGCTACTCTCTGTTGGATTTCTGTTGGCTGTCAAGTGATCTCAGGCCTTGGTTACCCTGCCTGCAGTCCTTCCCCCAACCTTCCTGCGCGGAGACCTCGGTCCGACCAGGGCACTGCTGGTCATCCTTCCTCCTGCCTTCCGTCTGCCTCATATCATCCTCCCCATCGCGTCTCATCATCTTCCCCCTTCTCCGCCCCTCTGCCTTGGAAGCAACCCTTCCCTGTCGCACCACCCGACGTGGCGTCAGGGCGGCCAGGGCGACTCGCCCGAGGCCTCCTCACCGTTTACGACACTGAAAGCCGAGAACTCAAACCGATGACGAAATGCAGGAGCTCCAGTGTTCTCCTGAAGCCACATAACGCGTGTTATGTGGGTGGGTGGGTGGGTGGGTTCGCTGGTGCATCTCAAATCACGTTGCGCGCGCACTACGGACAGCATTCCTGTGCGCTGAACAGGTGCTGCTGCAACAGGGGTGGGTGAAGCGGAGGGCGATACGTCATCTATCGGCGGTGGACAAACCTCCCTTTGGTAAACCTCCCCGTAGTGAAAACGGCCTGGGACCGAAACCGAAAGACCTGGACCCGCAAGAATGACGGCCGCGACGCCCTCTTGCGAACCGAAAACGGCCAATTCCTTAATCGACGTGTCAGGGTAGGAGGTCTATCCACCTCCGCATCTACTGGGTGGGCGGGTGGGTTGGAGGCCAAATCACGCGCGTTGTGTGTGTGCGAGCAAAGATAAACTCCAGCTCCCGGTGGCCCGCTCTCACAACACGGCTTTAGCCACAGCGCCGCGCGCAACCGTCTTCACACAGGACCCAACCGCTGCACGGACGGTTGGCGGATGCTCTCTCGAAAACACGGGCGCTCGCCCCGGCACCGCGCACACTCGCGGTTAACAAGTCCACCGCTCACCCGGGTGGAGGGCGAAGCGTCTTCAATGAGGGGGCTCCCGCTCCACATCGGTGCCATGTGGCTGTCATCGCAACGGCATAATATAAAGCGTTCGTCGGGCGCTGCTCCCATGTTCACACTACCATTCGGTGCGTCCATGGACCTGTTCGATTACAGCTTGTTGAGATGCCGATCGGGTACGTCTTTACACGAATTCTGGTTGCCTGTATGGTCCCGCTAACTCGATCCTCGCCTTGGTTGCCTACTGGCCCTCCCCCCGTAGCTGTATGGGCTTGACTCGCGTACACCATACAGTGACCTCTCTGCTCGGGACCGCCTCTGAAAGAAGCATGTGACTCTGTACGTCCTACTACTGACCAAGGGGCCATGTGGTCGTTAATTCCCCGGTTGAGCCATACTTGAGCTAGGACTAGGACTGCACGTAATGTTACTGCTACGAATGAGCACGTGATGTTACTGCTACGAATGAGACGCCACTGCAACTGCCGCCACTGTGAGTACAACTAACCCTGCGGCTTCTACACAGAAGTACGCCGGATCCCTCGAAGCTGTGCATGTTATGTACTGCGTTGTGCTATGTGGTTACCTGATGTCTTCTCATCGTAGACCACCTGCTCGATAATAAGCTCCCCTGGCGTTCCCTTCCCTCCCTCACCGCATCCAGTCTAAGTCAATTCCTCGCGTCTCCTCTTTCCTCTTTCGCATCCTCCGCACTCGCCCTGTTCGAACGCTTTCTTGGGCTCGGGACGACGATTAGAATCGGTGTCAATGAGCAACTGATTGAGCATAGATGTTCGCGCCCAGAGTTGAACGATTGATCAGAAAACAACATGCAACGATTGATCAGAAAACAACATGCCTGACACTCCGAGGTGCCCCCCTCATGGCGCTGTTATTGCATATGTGCTACACCTGTATGAAGCATACTGTGCGGCGTGCATATATGAGCGAACTTGATCGGATGTTCACGTTGTTGCAATCAAACATGCCTCTGTTGTAAAAACGCATGCGTCATACATACGGTGGGAGTGTGAGGAGGGAAGGGAAGGCAAGGGGTCGCTGAGCAGCCATGTCGTCTGGATAACGTCGCACGAATGACGGCTCCTAGATGTCACAAAATGGCCCCTAAATGTCTCCAACATGATCATGGAACCTCTATCGGAATTTCCTGAATCGGACCGGTTCGTCATCTCGCATTTTCAGCCTCATTACATTTCGATATGGCCTCAAGATGGAGGGAGACCTCCAAGAGTCTCCCAGAGAACTCCAAAGCACCCCAAGAGTGCAAGAAAAAGCCTATGAACCCAAAACGGAGCGAAGAAGGTTCTGGATCCCAAGAGGGCCCCAAGAGGCCAGCGACAGATCCTGAAAGGGCCCCAGGTACGGCAAACTCCTGGATTTTTTGACGACGCCTTTCTGGCACCGCATAAAACCTTGAACCTGGAATACTATTCGCTCTTGGAGTCCCGGAGGTCCCTGGGGGATGTCGACCCAAATTTTTGTTTGGATTTCGCGTCTCCGTAGCCGTGCCCGACAATAAGCACCCTGATCTGGTGCACATTGTGGAAGATCCACCCTCAGAAGAAGCAGCCTGGCAAGAGAAGTTCCTTCGCAAGCGCACCTGAGGAAGAAATCCAACAGGGCTGCACAGAAAACGACCAGGGCTGTTGGGCGCACGCCAAAAATAAAGGCCTCCTAGATGGGGTCGGAGAAGATGTGGTCGGAAGATGCAGATACATCGGCGATGCATCGGCGATGCACTGGCGACGTCGCCGATGCATCTGCAGCAAATCGGGCTCCGCATCGAGCCGCATCGCCGATGCGTCGGCGATGCGGCTCGATCCACCGACCCAAGCTGCTCGGACCCCATCCAGGAGACCCAGGGGTCTCCAGACGAGTGCCCCCCGCATGCCCCACCGGATGGCCACTGTCGGGAGCCGCCGCCGGCTGGGGGGCACCTGTTTTGGACGGTCCGGCGCGAAAACCGATCGAGTTCTCGCACACACTCACACACACACACACACACTTTGGATTCGCGGGTCGAGAGCGCACCTCTTCCGGTCAAAGCTAAGCGGGCTGCGCGAAGCTCGAATTAGGCAGAGAAGAGAAGGGGGGAAGCCGCGGAGCCTCAGAGCGAGGCTGAGAGGAGGCATAGCCTCGGATACAGGCGGTGCGGAACACACACACACACACACGCACCCACACCCACACACACCCACACACACCCACACACACCCACACACGCACCCAGGGCACACACCCCTTTGCGGGATCCCGACGAGCATGGGGGCCGGGGTGCCCGGAGTCTGCGGGCCCCGAGGCCCTGGCGTTCCCCCTCGAGCGCCCGCCGCCCGCGCCGCCGCCCGCGCCGAGAGGCGGGGCGCGCCTCCAGCCTCGGGGGCGGCGAGGAGGGGGGCGGCCAGGAGGGGGGCGTCCAACTGGGGGGATGGGCACAAACCATGGCCGGTGGCACGTGCGCGGCCCAGGGGGGGGAGGAGCAGGAGAAGTTTCGAGAAGGAGGACGAGGAGGAGAACGAGGAGGAGGAGGAGGAGGGCCGGGGACGCATCCTAATAAGAGGAAGGTCAAAGGTCAAGCCCGTGCGCCGGAAGGCGAGCCCGTGAAGGGCGCAGGCGGTGACAGTCGGCACGCGTGCTATACACGCGCGCGACGCGATCCAAGGAAAACAGCACGTACGTCTAAGCTGGCCATCGCTCGGACGTCCATTCCCGGTGCTTGTTTCGGTTTCGTGCGTGGTTCTTGTTCACAGGATGATCCAGGATGCTCCTCGTAATCCCCGCCGAGAAGAAGTGCACATGTCCGAGCGATACCAAGTACAAGGGGGAGGACTCGTTCACATGGCGTGAAATCTGGGAAGGTATCATGGCCCCCGCCGTGCTGTCCAGCCCCCCTGGGCATCACCGCCCTCTTGGCCGCCGCCCGACCGTCAGGCACAGGCGTGCCCCCGGCGTGGCTGGGACTTTTGTCCCACTCCTCCTCCTCCTGCTCCTCCTGCTCCTCCTGCTCCTCCTGCGCCTGCTCCTCCTCCTCCTCCTCCTCCTCCTCCTCCCGCCACCGCCCGGACGTCCATGCCACGTGCATGGTTCCGTTTCGTGCGCTTTTTGTTCCGCGAGAGGATCCAATGTCCTCCTCGATGGCCCTGGCCGACAAAACTTAGGAAACCTAATTCTGTACACCGACGCTGTTTCTGGCCCCGCACTGGAAGTCGTACTGGAACGCGAATCCTGGTGTATGCTGTATGCGGGATCCTGGTGTATACATGTTCCATTGTTTCCGAAGGAAAACGGGGCCACAACCATATACCACACCACCCCGACGTCGATCCCGACGATCCCGACCCTCAGAAAGTCCTGTGATTGAAACTCTGCCCGCCACTGGAAGGGAAAAAGCAATGGCATGAACATAAAAACTGGGAGGTCCGCGCGGAGTTCTCGGGTCCGCGCTGGGGCCCCCCCTGGCGGCGCCTCCACGCCTGGCGCGCTCGTCCGGCGCGGATCCGAGAAATCCGCGCGGACCTTCGAGTTCTTAGGTATGTCAGTGCTCATTCCCCTCGTATCTGTCGGCGGTGGACAAACCTCCCTTTGGTAAACCTCCCCGTAGTGAAAACGGCCTGGGACCGAAACCGACGGGCCTGGACCCGCAAAAATGACGGCGGCGACGCCCTCTCGCGAACCGAAAGCGGCCAATTCCCTAATCGACGTGTCAGGGTAGGAGGTATATCCACCTTCGAATCTGCTCCAGTTTCCGAGCTGATGCACCGCAGGAGGAGGCCACGGAAACGAGGGGCGGCGGCCGCGGAGGGCCCAGAAGAGGAAGGCGGCGGCCCCCCCGTGACCGTGCGAGGCCCAGAGACTGGATGGGTGCCCATGGGGCACACAAACCAATGCAGACGCAAATCCCAGGATTCCCAACATGTTTCCCACATTCGCTGAAGTCTGGCCTCGCCCCCCGCACTTCCCATGGTTTCCCACCAGCGTTCCGCAGGAGCGCCCATCATTCGTCTGCGTGTGCCTGTGTTACCCCCCCCTCCCGAGGGGAGAAGAAGGCGGCCCCCCTCAGCCCTTGCATGGCCCAAACACGCAACACACGAACTCAGCCTGCGCGGTAAAGAAGCACGGCAGGCTCGTGCCGTGACGACGCGCGCGTTGGTCTCTGATACTGCGTGGATCCTTCGGCCGAGGGCAGCCGCAGCTCTGACAGCGCTGGCCGCTTGATGTGCTGGCCCGCTTGATATGCCGCCGGCGTTCCGCTGGGACTGCTCGAGCCGGGGTCGCCAACGCGTCGACCCGACGCAAGCTTCACTCTAGACGCGTGCCGCTCTGCTTTCTCCGAGAGGGGGGGCACTTAAAACAGGGCTAGGATCGGGATAATTCGCTCCAGAGCGTTCCGGAGCGCTCTCGGAGCGTTCCGCAACGCTCTGGAGCGGCCGCGGCGCCCAATAGATCCTCCAAACCCGCCGATTCTCAGAGATTTCGAGTTATCCCGATCCGATTTTGTCCCGATCTTCGCGGTCGTTTTACTCTGCCTTCCCCGAGGGGGGGGCACTCTGCTCGCGCCCTGCGGGCTCGACCGGGCACGGCCGCCGCGACCGCCCATCCTCCCCCGCCCACCGATGCCTGCGCACGGCGCACCGCTGCGGGGTCCTGGCACATGGCCGCCAGGGTCCTCTCCGGGATGCGCGACGTGGGGGTCTTGAGCAGGGTCATCGTGGCCTCGGGCCGGCTCCGTGCGCACAGGCAGGCCATCGGCGGAGAAGATGGTGCCTCGGTGCCGCCACGACCAGATGGAGGTCGGGAGGCAAATGGTGCCCCGCCCCCGATTTCGGCGCACCCCTCACGCGTTTCCCAGAGCTCGCCATCGCTCGGACGTCCATTCCCTGTTTTTTTTCGGTTTCGTGCGTGGCTTTTTCGCGAAATGATCAAGGATGCTCCTCGATGGTCCTCGCCGAAGGAAAAATGCACACGTCCGAGCGTTGCCAGGAGAAGGAACGCAACCGAAGGCCCCACTGGCAGGGTTCGCATGCGGCTGCCCGCCCATGCCAGCACACACCTCTCACATGCTTTTCGTGGTCCATCATATGGCCCCGTAGGGAGCTCCACCGAAAACGTCCCTCAGAACTGGCATGCTCACAACTGCATCTGGCTGGGCCGTTCGCAAGGATGATCGATGTCGTTTGTTTTTGTGGTTGGTCGCGCATGATCGCAAGTTCGGGCTTCTTTCAACTCAAGACGGCCCGAAATGCCTTTGAGCAGGGACCGACCGCCCCGGCATTCCTATAGCCCTACCACGAAATGTTCTTAGAACCCCCAAAATGTTCTAATAACAAAAACAATGTTCTTAGAACATTAACCTGATGTGATAAAACAAGACAGGCTCCGCCAGAATTGTTCTAAGAACATCTCGTGGAAACCACAAGAGGCTCTCAGAACATTCTTTGGTAAGGCTACAGGCGAACCAGGAACCTTCGCCATTGCTTGATGCTTCCACGATGGCCTCAACACGGCCCAATCTCCTTAAGAGGGCTCCCAGACGGCCCCAGAGGTGTCCAATGCGGCCGAAGAGGGCCTCCCGTGGGGCCCAAGACGGCTTCAGAAGGCCTTTCGACGGCCCCACGACGGCCCCACGACGGCCACCATACGGCCAAGAGGGACGCAAGACGGCTCAAGAGAGCCCCAAGACGGCGCAAGAGAGCCCCAAGACGGCCCAAGAGGGCCGTCAACTGACCCCCAAGCTCATCAAACAGGAAGGGCAGCCCCAAGACGCCCCAAACGAGTTCCGTGCGAGCTCCTCACATGGTGGAGACGAAAGGTGTCATATGTGACGGCATTCCTCTTTCTACTTCTCCTCGGTTTCCTCCTCCTCCTCCTCCTCCTCCTCCTCCTCCTCCTCCTTATCATCATGCTCATCATCATCAGCAGCATCATCCTCCTCCACCTCCTCATCATCAGCATCAGCATCGTCATCATCACCACCACCATCATCATCATCATGAGCATCATCATCATCCTCAGCAACATCACCATCAGCAACATCATCATCATCATCATCACCATCCTCATCATGATCATCATCGCCATCATCATCATCATCACCACAATCATCCACACGATCATCGACATCAGCATCAGCATCAGCATCAGCATAATCATCATCAGCAACACCATCATCATCATCAGCATTAACGTCATCCGCAACATCATCGTCATCATCAGCAACATTATCAACGCCATCATCATAATATGTTTCCTCCTCCTTCTCGTCGTCGCCGTCGACGTCCCCGTCATCATCGTCGTCATGATCATCAGGATCAGAAGTATCATGATTTCCCCCGCGCTCTGTTTCTCAGTTTCCTAGTGTCTGATGCCAGCGCCGTCTGGAGTCTGACTGCACACGAGCGTGGGAGAGCAGAGGCACGGCGGCGCACACTCACCCGATGTGAAAGAATGAAAACGGCTTGGGGAAGGCCACGGGGAGCCGAAAAACTAATTACGAGCGCGCATAGATCATTCACGTATAACTCACATGATCCCCCCCGCGCTCTGTTTCTCAGTTTCCTAGTGTCTGTCTGATGCCAGCGCCGTCTGGAGTCTGACTGCACACGAGCGTGGGAGAGCAGAGGCACGGCGGCGCACACTCACCCATATCACCCATAACATGATGTGTCACCTACTATGCTGTGTTGGGAGGAGTAGCTACACGCTTGCCACGGGCACTGAAAACAAGCGGCGGCGGCGGATGCACCGCTTGGCCTCTGAGGATCGAGTCCTTGAGCGCGTGCACCTGCTCCTCGAGCCAGCAGCGCAGCGCCAGGGGAAGCAGGGCGTAGTCTTTCATCATCATGCCTGACTTTTCATAGCGCTGCACACTTTTGGTAGGCATCCAACCACCACGACGTTGCACTTCGCGCAGGTTGCGATGCTTTTTATATATCCCAGGAGGCGCCCGCATGGCGCAACTGGTAAGGTACAATGTCTTGGCCGAGCCGGCCATGCTTACGAATTTCACGCACTAACTCTGGATAGGTAAAATGCCGCAAGCACTCATTACGTTTTCCGACCGCTAGAACCTGAAGAATTTTGCCCATCCATTCAAAACCCTGAGTGTCCCACAAGATGGTGTCGTCCTGAGTTCCCACCTTCGAGACCTGGTGGAGGTCTGACCTGCGCGCCAGCACACGCCACATGGCGTCGACCTTCATGGTAGGTGGGACCAGCGAGCCCCTGGTGAGCTGCATCATAGAGCCTGGACGCAGGTAGGTGCAGAAAGCGATGATCGTCCAGATGGCCATGTCCAGGTGACCTTCGTAGGCCAGCAACGCAGCCAACCCTGCCACCGTCGGCAGGGTCAAGGGCTGCCGACTGCGTGGCGGGTCCAATTTGGCCCAGCCCCTGGCAGCCCGCCAGGCTCGCGGAAGAGAAAGGTCGCCTAGCTTGCCGAAACGAGGTTGAAAGAACACCACGGCTGCGATCAACTTCTGGCCGATGCCCGCGTCGTAGCCCAGCATGTACATGTGGGTCATGAAGGAGACAACGGCCACGTCGAAGTCCTGCACTTTGTCGGTGTTCAGCTTGCACTCGTCGACGTAGTCCACAAGGCCTCGATATAGCTTTCGATATTGCGCCCAGGTTCGTTCTCCTACCGAGCTTCGTTCTAGCACCGAAACGTGCTTCATACCTGGCTCTTCTGCCATCTTCGCATGGTGGATCTTCCGCCTCAGCACGCGATCCTGCACGAGCGGGTTGCCATCCTCCTCCGAGGTCGTGCCGTCCGAAGCTTCCAGACGGTTGGCATCCCTCTCCGCTTCCTCCAGCAGCACGGGCAAGGGGAGGCGATCGCGTCGCCGCTGTAAAGTAGCCTGCCACCTCTTCTCTAGAGGCAGCGGGTCCGCACGACGAAGACTCACACGAACTTCCCTCTCCTCCGTCGGAGCTGCTCTCTCGGCCTTCCTCACCAAGGACATGTAGAGCCCAATCAAGTAAAGAAGCAGAGCATGGCGGGTCTTCATGCTTGGCCAAAGCGGCTACAGAGCTTTGCCGTTCTCGAGCGAGACGGCGTATATCAGGAGCCACGCTCAACTCGACCGCGTTCCCCCGCTGAAGCCCGGGGCCCCTGGAAGGTTTGTCGGAGCTGTTGAACTCACTCGGGGCCCACCTGAACCCCGCTGAGAGGTTTCGCGACAGCGCCAGCGCCGCCGCCCGCCGTACTTGCATCAGCAGAGGAAAGGCACGGGCCCTGGATCTTGCAAAGCTGAGCGTGACACCGAGATTGTCCCCAAGGGCCATCAGACGACAGCTATGCACCCCAGGTTCCAGAACCACATTTGCGATCCCAAGGACTCCAGCTCTGGCTTCCCCCTCATGCACAGTCGTCTTTCTTCTCCAAGAATGGCAGAACAGCACTTCCCAATCCTTTCCCACAAGCCCCTCGAGCGGAACCTCCGGAAACAACAAATCTTGCCCCCGAAGCTCCGACACGTCCTCAACCGACGGCGGCGGCGTCACAAACACCAGGGGGTCATCAGGGTCAAGGCAGGAAAGCGCATGCCCGTGAGCCTGCGCAGCATCCCGACGAACAAATCTGGCTCTCTCCTGGACTCTCCCTTGAGCGGCCGCCCAGGCAGGAGACCTAGTAGCAACACAAGCTCCAGCGCCCTCAGGGCAGAAGTCATACGTCAACACTTCTCCAAGCCAACCGCGGGACCAGTCTTAGCGAATAAGAGGCATGAGGCAGAAGAAAGCCTCGAGCACCTCACGTGCTGTTGGCCACAATGGAGCCCACGAGCGACGGCGCCGCCGAGCGAACTTGTAGACCGAGGCGAAGCAGGAGAGAAGAGGGCGCTGGAGCATAGCGAGGTAGGCGCAATGGCCCAGAAGAACCTCGAGGGCTTTTCCCGTTACCTTGGGCGCCTTCAAGAAAGCCCCCAGAGACCGATGAATCTTCCAGCATCGCTTCCCAGCGGGCCTGAAACACTTTAGTTCGCCGCTGAACTCGATCCCAAGAGCGCCCCGAACTTGGCCTGCCCCCTGGACTTCGTGACGCTGCATTTTGTTGGAGTTAAGCACGTTTTTGATGTTATCAAGCGACTTCTGGACCTCAATCTCGTCCGCCCCCAAGACCCCCACGTTGCCCGCATGCGCTTGAAAGACGGGCGCGGAGTCCTTACTCACGATGAGCCCGCCCCCCCTGTCCTCCACCGCCACAGAGCCTTCCATGCCTGAAGCCTCCCGAACCAGGCGAGCATTGACGCGCTGGGCCCAGAAGACCGACCATGAGAAGCCCATGGGGAGCACAGCCATGGCGGCCCGCACAAGCCCGTCTCCAGGAACCTCCCGTCCCCGAACATGTGCCAGACCTAGCTCTCGTGCGCGGACGGGGGGTAAGCAGAAATAATCGCCCAATTCGCTGTCTATACCGATTCTGCGAAAGCAATTGTCCACGTCAAGAGACGCCTCAAAAAGCTCAACACCTCCCTCAACTTCCAGGCGAGCGAAACTCTCGGGCGTGGCCAGTAGAGTACTAGGAGGATCTCTGAAAAAAACTGATTAGTACGTCTTGCATCGATGATAAGTCGCTGTCTTCCATCCTTTTTTCGGACAAAGAACGGGGTCGCAATCTCTGTGGGCGTAGTCGACCACCTGATGAGACCACGCCTGTGCAACATCTTCAGAAAGCGTACGTACTCGTGCCGTCGAACGCGAAGCTTCTGGTCAAA